GTGAGCGCCGCCCCCCGCCCCCGCGACGGCGGCGCCGAGGGGACAAAACGCGTTTGTGACGCGGGGCCGCCAGGGCCCTTCCGCCTCCGGCCCGGGCCAAGATGGCGGCGCCCAGGCGGAGGGATCGATGCCGTGTTCGAGTTTGGGGAGGACGGGAGGGAGAGCCGGCGTCCGAGATTTGGGACGGCGGGGCTTGGAATTAAGAGAAAAGGAACGAGGCTGCTTTTTGGATAAGGGTGGGGAGGGGGTTTGGAGGAGGACGCGAGCCAAGATATTTTTTACCCTCCAGGATTTTGGAGGGTTGGCTCGTCTGTAAACTCCCCAGCTCTTTTTTTATTTAAAGGGCCCAGCAATCTCCAGATACTGCTCCTCTCTCAGGTTTCTCTAAGGACTGTCTTGCCCACCTCTGTGCAAAAACTTTCACCGGCTCCACTGCTTGCTGCAGCCTCTGTCGGTGTACGCGCCACGGCACATTGCTTGTGCATGCGGTGTTGTGCATGCGGTGTGCGTCGTGCGTGCATGTGCATTAAAAAAAAGAGCGGCCGCGCATGACCTGGTAGGGCAAGGGTTCTGAAGGAGGGCGAAGTTGCCGCTGGTTGGTTGCTTCTCGACCCCCCCCCCCCCCACACACACACACAATGTGGCGTGGCAGCTTGCGGAGCCTGCTTTCCGGCATACCTCTTTCGATCCGACGTGAACGTCCGGTTCTTCTTGCTCGTGGATCGGTATTTTTGCCGGCGGAGTTGAGGCGGCCGTATACGCCGCAGCCAGGTAAGTCTGCAGCAGGCAGAGCTGTAGTGAGATTCGGGAGGGACCCTGGCCAAGGTTCCCTCTAAAGCTGAGTTAGTGTGAGGCTAGTTCACAGCTTTCTAGCCTCCGGCTCACACGTTTTTCTCTCTGCTCAGGAAGGATGGGCTCCAGAGCAAACTAATTCATGCAGCAGCCAAATCGCTCGCTCACAACTTTAATGCCAGGAGCTCACAAAGTAGGAGTTTTGCTCACAGGACTCCACAGCTTAGAGAGAGCAGTGGTTGCAAGCAGTGTTCCCTTTAAGCTGAGTTAGTGTAAGCTAGTTCACTGTTTTTTAGCCTCCAGCTCACACATTTTTGTCTTAGCTCAGGAAGGAGGGGCTCCAGAGCAAACTAATTGATACAGCAGCCAAATCGCTCGCTCACAACTTTAATCCCAGTAGCACACAGAGTAGGATTTTTGCTCACAGGACACCACAGCTTAGCGGGGGCGTTGACGGTGGCTCAGTGGTAGAACATCTGCTTGGCATGCAGAAGGCTCAGTCCCTGTAGTCTCCAGATAAAAGTATCAAATTGTAGGCGATGTGAAAGACCTCTGCCTCAGACCCCGGAGATCCGCTGCCAGTCAGAGTACACAACACTGACCCTGATGGACCAAGGGTCTGATTCAGTATAAGACAGCTTTATGTGCATTCTTGTAAGGTTATCTCCTTCTCCGTCCTCCTTCCAGGTTCTATATTTTATAGTTCTCAGAAGACCTGATCTGTGGAGCCACTTACCAATCATGCTGGTGTGTGTTTAGGACATAAGAGACGCCAATGTTGGATCAGGCCAATGGCCCATCCAGTCCAACACTCTGTTGCACAGTGGACAAAAAAACCAGGTGCCATCAGGAGGTCCACCAGTGGGGCCAGGACACTAGAAGGCCTGCCACTGCTGCCCCCACCCCCCAGCATCAAGAATACAGTGTTTGGTTCTGCCCTAAGGCTCTTAGGGAATCTGATTGTCAGGCAAATTCCAGACTGAAGCAATGTTTATATCAGGTCAGAATCAGACCACTGGTCCATTTATCTCAATAAATGGCTGCCCTGGCTTACCAGGCAGAAAAGTATTTTTTTTTTCCCTAGCCTGCATCCTGAAATCCTTGCAATTTGAAAAGTGGGGGAATTAACCAGCGATCGTCTGCATGAGCGATCTGCGGTCTTTCTGGACCTAGGATCCGTGTTTAACCTCACAGCTGGCAGCAACATATCCACAGAGCTGCAAGCACAAGACAGGAAGTCATGTGGCATGAAGAGGAAGAGCCACAGTTATGGCCAGTGTTCCCTCTAAGCTGAGTTATTTATTTATTTGATTACATTTATATCCCGCCCTCCCCGCACGCAGGCTCAGGGCGGCTTACAGTACACAGGCGTAAAACAACACCATAGTTATGCAATCAAGGCACACAGTGCAATAAAAATACCGTTAAAACATTTTAAAAACAGTTAAATACAATGGGCAACTCCCAAGGATCCAGTGCGACTAACACACTTGCTCCCATTAGTAAAAAAAGGGCGACTAACACACACGCAAATCCCATTAGTAAAAAGGGGGGGGAATGCTATGGCCCCAATGTTCAATGGCCAATCAACCTAGCCCAGCGGTCCTGCTTTGCAGGCCCCAATTGGTGGTGGTGGTGGTGATTGCGGCGGCTCCTATTCAAAAGCCTGGCGGAAGAGCTCCGTCTTACAGGCCCTGCGGGACCTGATCTCCTCCGGGAGCTCATTCCACCAGATAGGAGCCGCCAGCGAAAAGGACCTGGCCCTTGTGGCAGCAAGCCTGGCCTCTTTAGGGCCCGGGGTCACGAGACGGTGTTGTGACCCCGACCGAAGTGCTCTTTGGGGCCTGTATGGGGCAAGGCGGTCCCTCAAATATGCCGGACCCTAGTGTGAGCTAGCTCACAGTTCTTTAGCCTCCGGCTCATGCGTTTTTGTCTCCGGCTCAGGAAGGACATCTCCAGAGCAGACTAACTGATGTAGTATAGCCAAATTGCTTGCTCACAACTTTAATGCCAGTAGCTCACAAAGTAGAATTTTTGCTCACAAGGCTCCACAGCTTAGAGGGAGCATTGGTTATGGCCTCATCTGGTGGTGGTGGTGGGGGCTCTGTTGGGGGTCTGGCTTGCTGTCGGAGGGGAGGAGAAAAGGCAGAGAAGAATCCTTGAATACGGGCATGGTGCTGGAGCTCCAGGGGGTGAGAAATGAGTACACCCAGGCCAAGGAAGGCTGCGCGGGGAGAAAAAAAGAGAAAGCAAGGGAGAACTTTTTTGCAAGGAGTGCTTTTTTGTCTCTAAACCTGCCTGTGTTAAAAAGAACCGTCTCTACTCCCAAGTAACCTTTAATTTGCTGTTTCACTTTTTCTCTGCAGATGGAGTTGAGGTCCGTGAGGGGCTATTTTGATGCAGTGGTTAAGGGCGCGGGCTCTAATCTGGGAGGACCGGGTTTGATTCCCCCACTCCTCCACTTGCAGCTGATGGATGACCTTGGGCAAGCCACAGTTCTGTCACAGCTGTTCTCTGAAGGACAGTTCTCTCAGAGCTCTCTCAGCCTCGCCTACCTCACAGGGTGTCTGTTGTGGGGAGTGGAAGGGGAAGGAGTTTGTAAACCGCTCTGAGACTCCCAGTAAAGGGTGGGGTATAAATCCAATCTCCTCCTCCTCCTCCTCCTTCTTGCCACTAGATATAGATGGAACACTCTGTCCAGGGCAATGGTGCTCTGTATTCTTGGTGCTTGGGGGGGGGGGAGTGGGAGGGTCCCTGGCGTTGTGTCCCCGAGGGTGAACCTGATGTCACCTGGGTTTTGGTCACTGTGTGACACAGTGGTGTTCTGGTGGGCTGAGGGTGTGATTCACTGTGCCATCGGGAGGATGCTGGGCTAGACAGACCACTGGTCTGACCCCGCAGAGTGTGTCGTAGATTCTCTCAGCATGCACACAAAAAAAGGCAGGGTGTGTGGCCTCTCTGCTCTATATGCATGTGCTCCAGAAGTGCCATCTCTCAAAAAGCCACCCAAGCAGAAGAATGCTGTGGCATTCTTGTCGTGACACGGCTTTATGCCAACCCTTGGTTGTTAAAGATCAGTAGTTTGGTGGTGGCGGTGCCTCTCTGGCCAACGTCTTTTACATCACCTACTTCCCCATCGTTTAAACTGTAGAGCCTGTATGCTCGATTCTGTGTGCTCGATTCTGCATGCAGACCGGATGCTCTCCCTCTGTGTTTCTCCCTGTGTAATGACGCTTTAACGCAACCCAGTTGTTTTCCAAACAACTAAAGACTTAGTGTTTGGAAAAGGAACTTGGTGTGTTTTCCACAAGCTCCACCTCACCCAGCAACTCAGCTGCTGCTTATTAATACAGCTGCCCTCCCCTCTTTTACTGCTAGGGGGTGCTGTCTTTAAAAGTGACAGAGTTTCTGCAAACAGTGCATCATGGGAAGTGTAGTTCTTAGATGAGTATTGCACGCAAAGCTTGCTAGTCGATTGGGAATGGACATAGCAGAAGTGGTTTCAAATTACTTAGTTCCCTCCTCCAAGTCACATGGACACATGAAGCTGCCTTGTACTGAATCAGACCCTGGATCCATCAAGCTCAGTGTTGTGTACTCAGCCTAGCAGCGGCTCTCCTGGATCTCAGGCAGAGGTCTATCCCATCACCTCCTGCCTGTAACTGGAGATGCCGGGGACTGAACCTGGGACTTTCTGCATGCCAAGCAGAGGCTCTTTCACTGAGCCACGGCCCCTCTTTACAGCTCTCCAGGGTCTCAGACGGAGGTCTTTCCCATCACCTCCTGCCGGGTCCTTTTTAACTGGAGATCCCATCACATCACCACGGCCCCTCTTTACAGCTCTCCAGGGTCTCAGGTGGAGGTTTCCACATCACCTCCTGCCTGGTCCTTGTAACTGGAGATGCCAGGGATTGAACCTGGGACCTCCTGCCTGCCAAGCTAAAGCTCTGCCACTGAGCCACAGACCCTTTCTACAGCTCTCCAGGGTCTCAGATGGAGGTCTTTCCCATCACCTCCTGCCTGGTCCTTTTTAACTGGAGATGCTGCCGGGGACTGAACCAGGGACCTTCTGCATGCCAGGCAGATCCTCTGCCACTGAGCCATGGCCCCTCTTTACAGCTCTCCAGGGACTGAGGCAGAAGTCTTTCACATCACCTCCTGCCTGGTCCTTTTAACTGGAGATGCTGCCGGGGATTGAACCTGGGACCTTCTGCATACCAGGCAGATGCTCTGCCACTGAGCCACAGCCCCTCTCTACAGCTCTCCAGGGTCTCAGGCGGAGGTCTGTCCCATCACCTCCTGCCTGGTCCTTTTTAACTGGAGATGCTGTGGATCAAACCTGGGACCTTCTGCATGCCAAGGAGATGCTCTGCCACTGAGCTACAGCCCTGCATCTTCAACATCAGCGGAAGGACTGTGTGGAGACAGGTGGATTGTGTGCAGAATGGGAACAAGCATTCTGATTAATTTCCTAATATCTTTGAAGGAAAATAAATTGCATTCAGCTCACTAGAGGTGATGTGGAAGAAAGAGATGCAGCTGAGAGAAACAGGGTGTGCTTAAAGACCTGACTGCTTCCTTTCTCTCTCGGTTGTCGTTTCTGTCCTAGCTGTATCGTTGCAGCTTTCTTTTAGTTTGCACTGTGCTCTTTAACTCTGAAGTGGCTTCCAGCGGAGGTCAGGGGACGGGATAGAACATTTTAAAGGAATGACTCATTGATTTCGGCAGACGAAGGCAGATCTTGCACTTCTTTGGATGTTGCATGTGGTGCATGAGAGGCGTGTTATCTGTGTACTGAGCGGAGATTTTCTTTTGCCCTTTCAGAAAGGAAGAGGTTTTACCAGAATGTGAGCATCTCCCAAGGCGAAGGTGAGCTTGTCCCCTCAGTTGTAAGCTTTGGGCTGTCATCTACGTGCCTGGAATAAATTCATCTGGAGCCTATCCGATCTCAAGGTGGTTTAGGCTGCAGGGAGGGTTAAGGGCCATGAAGGTGCTTCCAACTTGTGGCGAGTCCCTCTAAGCCGAGTGAGTGTGAGCTAGCTCACAGTTTTTTAGCCTCCGGCTCACGCATTTTCGCCTTAGCTCAGGAAGGGATGGCTCCAGAGCAAACTAATTCATGCCATAGACAAATCGCTCGCTCACAACTTTAATGTCAGCAGCTCACAAGGTAGAATTTTTGCTCACAAGACTCCACAGCTTAGAGGGAGCATTGAGGGCGACCCTATGAATGTAACGTCCTCCAAAACACCCTGTTGTTAAAAGCCATTCTCAGGTCTTCCCAAACGGATGTCTGTGGCTTCCTTAATGGAGTCGCTCCACCTAGGATTCTTGTCTTTTCCAGTGACAATTTCCTGTCTTCTCAGAATGTGACCAAGGTACGATAGCCTCGCTTGAGTCATTTTAGCTTCTAGAGAGAGTCCAGGCTTGATTCTGATGTAGAGCCCACTTATTTGTCTTTTTGGCAGTCCCTGGGGTATCCATAAAACTCGCCTCCAACACCACATTTCAAATGAATCTGCTTTCTTCATTAAGAACATAATATAAGGACATCAGAAGAGCCCTGCTGGATCAGACCAGTGAGGGTCCATCTCGTCCAGCCTCCTGTCTCACACAGGGGCCAACCAGTTCCTCTGGAGGGCCAACAACAGGGCAGAGAGGCCGAGGCCTTCCCCTGACAAGAACATCAGAAGAGCCCTGCTGGATCAGACCAGTGGTCCAGTAGTCCACCCAGTCCAGCGTCCTGTCTCATGCATTGGCCCACCAATTCCTCTGAACGGCCAACTACAGGGCATAGAGGCTGAGGCCTTCCCCTTATAATGAGCCCTGCTGGATCAGACGTCCATCCAGTCACACAGTGGCCAGCCAGTTCTTCTGGAGGGCCAACAACAGGGCGTAGAGGCCAAGGTCTTCCCCTGATGTTGCCTCCCAGCTCTGGGAGTCAGTGGCTTAGTGCCTCTGAATGTGAAGGTTCCCCTCAGCCACCATGGCTCATAGCCACTGATAGACTTATCTTCCATGAATCTATCTAATCCCCTTTTAAAGGTGTTTATTCCTGTGGCCATCACTATATCCACATCTTAAGCACTCTCTGCGTAAAGCAGTATTTCCTTTTGTCCTAACTGAACATGGGGAATACTGTGGCATGAATTAACTTGACCTTGGTCCCCAGGAATACCTCCTTACTTTTAAGGGTCTTTTCTAGCTCCTTCATGGCTGCCCCTTCACAGCCTCAGTCTCCTTCTGATTTCTTAGGCACAGTCTCACTTTTGGTTGATGATGAACCCAAGAAGTAGAAAACCTCGAACCATTTCGGTTCCTTCATCGTCAGGCCTTAGAGTTGTGTGATGACGGTAGGCCGATAGGCAAGGGGTTTCAAGCGCCCATCTCTGGGCAGAATTGAGCACAAGCTTTAGGGGAATACTGGGTTTGGATGGCAGGATTGAGGCAGGAACACGGGAACTTGACAGTCACGTAGTACGAGGGCGCGCGATCTTTGGCGTCGTGAGTTCTATAAAAACGAACCCGGTTCTTCCACCCCAGTTTCTAGTCCTTATGGTTAAGAAGATAAGCCAGAAAATATGCAAGCAAAGTCTGGCAAAGTCTCCGAAGTCAGAGGGAAGTATCTTTTCCAGTGGCTGAGCAGAAGCATACATAAATAACAAAATGAGAAGCAACGGTAGGCAAATACCCTTGCTTTGCATAACGTATGCAGTTAGCTCGGCGTAAAGGTTTCCCTTGCTCAAAAGCCAGTCGACTCTGCCTCTAGGGGGCGGTGCTCATCTCCGTTTCCAAGCCAAAGAGCCAGCGCTGTCCGAAGATGTTTCCATGGTCATGTGGCCATCATGACTAAACACCAAGGCGCACGGAACGCTGTTACCTCCCCATCAAAGCGGTACCTATTTATCTACTTGCCATTTCTTGCTTTCAAATTGCTAGGTTGGCAGGGGCTGGGGCCAGAGAGGGGAGCTCACTCCGTCACACGGCACTCGGGTCTCGAACTGCAGACCTGCAGACCTTCCAGTCTGCAGCTCAGTGTCTTAACCACTTGAGCCACCGCAGCTAATGCTCAAAAAGCTAGGGTCTCGAACTGCTGAACTACCAACCTTCCAGCCTGCAGCTCAGGATCTTTGTGTCGGCTTTGGATGGTGCCAAATCTTGGATTTTCTTTCCAAGCGCAGAGTTTGGGAAGCCCTGAGACCTAAAGGTGTATAAGGCCCTGCCCACGCAGAGCTTCCTGTACCAAAACCAGAATCTTTGAGGAATTTGCATTTTTCTGGCATTGATGGCCAGTTGTGCCGGATATAACCTTTCCAGGGGTTGACTTCTGAGTAGATCAGCTTGAGGTTGCTCCCGGGGGATCCGGATCACTCAGACTCTTAGAGTATGTTCCTTGCTGCTGACTTGGTAGCTTTATAAAATATATATTTTATAAAAAAACCAAAACACCCCGTTCTCCTTCAGGAGGTTTTGAAATCAACCTGGATCATCGGAAGCTGAGAACCCCCCAGAACAAGACCTTCGCGGTGCCCAGTGAGACCCTGGCTCTGGCGGTAGCGACGGAGTGGGAATCCCAGCGGGACACGGTCAAGTTTTTCACCATGCACCTGGCGAGTCAGACAGATCCCTTCCTCTTTCTGTTGCCTTCTCCTCCTGCCTTTCTCCGGACAGGGGAGCAGCCCCCCCCCCCCCCCCCCCCCGGCTGCTTCATCCTCACAATAACTCTGTAAGGGAGTTGAGGGCTGAGTTTGGATTAGAAATATGAGACTACTATTCCGGCCTGGAAGTGTCCATTACGGTAGGGGAGCAAGGCATGCTGGGAGTTGTAGTCCCTGCAAGCTTTCCCCCAACTTCTTGGCTTATGGGAGGGCTTTCTGTGTCAGCTCGGCTCCTGTGGAACAACCAGAGTGTTTGCTGTAGGAACTCTGCAGGTTACCAGCACAAGAATTTGAGTGGTTCATCGTCAAGATCTTCGGTGACTCGTGATTTCGTAATGTGTTGAGTCAGGCGATTGGTCTGCCAAGGCTAGTGTTGTCTACTCTGACTGGCAGCAGCTCTCCAGGGTCTCACCTAGAGGTCCCTCACATCACATACTACCTGAGCTTTTTAACAGCTCTCCAGGGTCAGGTGGAGGTTTTTCACATCACCTGGCTGGTCCTTTTAACTGGGGATGTTGGCGATTGAACCTGGGGCCTTCTGCATGCCAAGCAGGGGCTCTTCCACTGAGCCACGCCCCCTCTTTACCGCTCTCTAGGGTCTCAGGTGGCGGTCTTTCACATCACCTACTACCTGGTCCTTTTCACTTGAGATGCCGGGGACTGAACCAGGGACCTTCTGCACGCCAAGCAGAGGCTCTACCACTGAGGCACGGCCCCTCTTTACAGCTCTCCAGGGACTCAGGCGGAGGTCTTTCCCTCCCCTCCTGCCTGGTCCTTTTGACTGGAGATGCCAGGGATTGAACCTGGGACCTTCTGCATGCCAAGCAGATGCTCTGCCACTGAGCCACAGCCCCTCTTGACAGCTCTCCAGGGTCTCAGGCGGAGGTCTCTCCCATTACCTCCTGCCTAGTCCTTTTGACTGGAGATACCGGGGATTGAACCTGGGACCTTCTGCATGCCAAGCAGAGGCTCTGCCACTGAGCCACAGTCCCCTCTTTACAGCTCTCCAGGGTCTCAGGCGGAGGTCTTTCCCATCACCTCCTGCCTGGTCCTGTTTAACTGGAGATTCCGGGGACTGAACCTGGAACCTTCTGCATGCCAAGCAGAGGCTCTTCCACTGAGCCACGGGCCCTTCCTAGCTGCCTTTTACTGATGCAGAAGATAGGTCTACCAAGGTGAATCTTGTCTATTCTGACTGGCAGTGACTCTCCAGGGTCTCAGGCAAAGGTCTTTCAGATCACGTAGTACCAGGGCTTGAAGCCATTGACAGATTTCTCCTCCATGAATCTATCTAATTCCCTTTAAAAGCTGTTTATCCCTGTGGCCATTGATACCCTCCCTGGCAGCAAAATCTACATTTTAATCACTCTCTGTGATCACCTGATCGCTGAAGTCTTTCCAACAACCCCATGAAGTAGACCAGGTTTGTTTACCACAGAGAAGGGAGAAAATCCTGGCTTACTTGCAGAGGATGAGATTCAGGTTGGGGTCATGGTGGCTTTCCTGTTCCTGTGTTTGTAACCCATTCCTCGCTTTCCAGACAACCTTGTGTAACACCGCTCTGGACAACCCATCACAGCGAAGCAAAGAACAGCTCATCACAGCGGCTGTGAAGTTCTTGGAGACAGACACCATCTGGTAGGAGCGTCTGTGAAGTCCATTGCGGGCCAGGAAATCTAGAAGTCTTTTGAATTAGCATGTTGAACATAAGAGCCCTGCTGGGTCAGACCAGTGAGGGTCCCTCTAGTCCAGCATCCCGTCTCACACAGGAGCCAACCAGTTCCTCTGGAGGGCCAACAACGGGGCACAGAGGCCAAGGCCTTCCTCTGAGGTTGCCTCCTGGCTCTGAAATTCAGAGGTTTAATGCCTCTGAACCTGGAAGTTCCCCTCAGCCACCATAGACCTATCTAATCCCCTTTTAAAGCTGTGGCCGTCACTACATCCTCCGGCAGCGAATTCCACTTTTTAATCACTCTCGGTGTAAAGTAGTATGATGAAGCTGCCGTACACTTAAATTAGCTCACTGAACACACACATGAAGGCGCCGTCTACTGAATCAGACCCTTGGTCCATCAAAGCCAGTGTTTGTCTACTCAGACTGGCTGCAGCTCTTTGGGCTCTCAGGCTGAGGTCTTTCCCATCACCTCCTGCCTGGTTCTTTTCAACTGGAGATGCTGCCGGGGATTGAACCTGGGACCTTCTGCATGCCAAGCAGAGGCTCTTCCACTGAGCCACGGCCTCTCTTTACCGCTCTCCAGGGCCTCAGATGGAAGTCTTTCCCATCATCTCCTGCCTGGTCCTTTTCACTGAAGATGCCGGGGATTGAACCTGGGACTTTCTGCATGCCAAGCAGAGGCTCTTCCACTGAGCCACAGTCCCTCTTTACAGGTCTCCAGGGACTCAGGCTGAGGTCTTTCCCATCACCTCCTTCCTGGTCCTTTTTAACTGGAGATGCCAGGGATTGAACCTGGGACCTTCTGCATGCCAAGCAGAGGCTCTGCCACTGAGCCACAGCCCCTCTTTACAGCTCTCCAGGGTCTCAGGCTGAGGTCTTTCCCATCACCTCCTGCCTAGTCCTTTTTAACTGGAGATGCCGGGGATTGAACCTGGGACCTTCTGCATGCCAAGCAGAGGCTCTTTCACTGAGCCACAGCCCCTCTTTACAGCTCTCCAGGGTCTCAGGCAGAGGGCTTTCCCATCACCTCCTGCCTGGTCCTTTTTAACTGGAGATGCCAGGGATTGAACCTGGAACCCTCTGGATGCCAAGCAGAGGCTCTTCCACTGAGCCACCAGGTCCTCCTTACAGCTCTCCAGGGACTCAGGCTGAGGTCTTTCCCATCACCTCCTGCCTGGTCCTTTTTAACTGGAGATGCCAGGGATTGAACCTGGGACCTTCTGCATGCCAAGCAGAGGCTCTGCCACTGAGCCACAGTCCCTCTTTACAGCTCTCCGGGGTCTCAGGCTGAGGTCTTTCCCATCACCTCCTGCCTAGTCCTTTTTAACTGGAGATGCCGGGGATTGAACCTGGGACCTTCTGCATGCCAAGCAGAGGCTCTTCCACTGAGCCACGGCCTCTCTTTACCGCTCTCCAGGGCCTCAGATGGAGGTCTTTCCCATCATCTCCTGCCTGGTCCTTTTCACTGGAGATGCCGGGGATTGAACCTGGGACTTTCTGCATGCCAAGCAGAGGCTCTTCCACTGAGCCACAGTCCCTCTTTATAGGTCTCCAGGGTCTCAGGCAGAGGTCTTTCCCATCACCTCCTGCCTGGTCCTTTTTAACTGGAGATGCCGGGGATTGAACCTGGGACCTTCTGCATGCCAGGCAGATGCTCTGCCACTGAGTCATGACCCCTCCTATGTTAAGACAAAGCATGAAGACTGGGGACAACCAGGGGGCAGAGGCGGAGAGAGAAAAATTGCAAAGGTATAGATGCAGTTTAAGTGTGACTGACCAATCCGGTGACCAGCTGTGCTTTCTCCCTGGGTTTTGGGGTATCCCAGCTACCGGGTAGAAGAGCCTCCTGCCTTGGTGGAATTGCAGAAGAATGAATGGGACCCTGTGATTGCCTGGGCGGAGAAAAGGTGAGTGTGCAGAGTGGGAAATTACCCCTGAATACGCCTGCATCTTGCCGAGAATACTAACAGCTCATGACACAAAAGAGTTCACGCTTTCTTTGCTGAGACGTCATGGGGAGCGGAGGCGGTTGGGGCGGAATTTATGACGCAAGATTTTAGCTCTCCTAGGTATGTGGCGTTCTAGGGGAGACGTGGGAGAAAGCCAAAATGCTGCTCTGTTTTGCTGCGAACCTCTGCAATCCATTGATCCCACAATTCTGATCGCTGAGGCAAATTCCTTTCCCCTTAATTAAAATTGGAGGCATCCTTTGCTCTTGTGATAGGAAGGAATTGTTCACCTGTTCAAGACCCTCCCTCCCAGTTTGGTGCAGTGGTTAAGTGCGCAGACTCTAATCTGGGAGAACCGGGTTTGATTCCCCACTCCTCCACTTGCACCTGCTGGATGACCTTGGGCAAGCCTTAGTTCTGATAAGAGCTGTCCTTGAAAAAGAGCAGTTTCTGTCAAGAGCTCTCTCAGCCCCACCGACCTCACAGGGTGTCTGTTGTGGGGAGGGGAAGGGAAAGGAGTTTGTAAGCTGCTCTGAGACAGTAGTGAAAGGCGGGTATAGTAGTGGGTAGTGAAAGGCGGGGTATAAATCCAGTCTCTTCTTCTTCTTCCTGCGTGAGTCACTGGTCTGGATGTGACCTCTAATTGAACGGAGGCAAGCCCAGAGCAAGGATTCACGCAGAGACATGACGGGCAGCCTCCTCTGAGGGCTCACAGTTTTTCTGAGTATCAAGATGGAGTCAAGTGCAGTGGCAAATTTTAGCCACACCCAGTGGAGCCTGATTGGAAGGTGCCCAGGCCAGAGCAGTGACTCATTCAGAAACTCAACAAGCAGCTTCTTCTGAGGACAGGTATTTCTGCCGGTTCTCCATAGCAGGGACTATCAGAGGGTCCTAATTGTGCTCTGGCATGGATAGCACAGGCAAGCCCAATCTCGTCAGATCTCCGAAGTTAAGCAGGGACGATTCTGGCAAGTATTTGGATGGGAGACCCCCTTGGAATACCAGCAGTCGGGAGGCGTGGGCAGGCTTTATTCAGCCACCTCTCTGAATATCATCCTGGCCCCCAGTAGGGGTCACCATGACTTCCAGGTGCACACACGGTCAGTCACCAGAGGTTGCCATAATCAGTGTTCTCTTTAAGCTGAGTTAGCGTGAGCCGGGTCACAGGTTTTTAGCCTCCGGCTCATGCATTTTTGCCTTAGCTCGGGAAGGATGTGGCCCCAGGGCAAGTGAATTTATGCCACAGCCAAATCGCTCGCTCACAGCTTTAATGCCAGGAGCTCACAAAGTAGAATATTTGCTCACAAGACTCCACAGCTTTGAGGGAAGCATTGGCCATGACTTCCAGGTGTGCACACACTCACACACACAGATGGGGGGGGGGAGAAGAGAGGAGGTAGCATTAACCCACAGCCAGCAGAAAAGAAGCTAGGCCAGAGCAGCAACTCATGCAGAGGGGCAGCGGGCAGCCCCTCTCGTGGGCGGGCGCTTTGGGCTCACAGGAGCTTCCAAGTGATTCAGTCGGTTTATTTGCCTTGGCATGCTGACAGCTCCTCTCAGGAAAGGCTGTTCAAAGACACTCAACTTCACAGGGCAGCTCCGGAATGCCCTTAGAACTGCCCTGGTGGTGCTGGGTCACTTTGGGTCGTTTCCGGTCCTGGTGGGGATCTAACCCGTGCCCTCTTTATCCTCCCTCCCTCCCTGCCCCCAAACAGGTATAACGTGGTCATCGGCTCTTCGACAAGCATCCTGGGTCCCAGCATCCCACAAAGCACCAAAGACACCTTCATCAGTCACCTGGCGTCATACAACACCTGGGCTTTGCACGGTACAGGCGGTGCGGTGCTGCAGCTTTCCTGTAATCATTCCTCCACCCCGACATTTCCTATTTGGGGCGGGTGTCGCATTAAACTGGAAGCATCCTTCCTGAGATGGGATGTCCCGAGTCAAAATCTGGCTACTGGAGATGGATTGGGGCCGAGGAACCTTGCCCCCCCCCCCCCCAAGTCTAAACTGTAGTGTGAAACTTTTAGGGCCACTTTGGGTTTTTAAAAAGTATCTTTTTGAGCCAGGAAGCTACATAGATCGGTGGTGGAGGCCACTTTATGGCGTAGTGCAGGGTTGTTGAACTCATTTGTTATGAGGGCCGGATCTGACATAAATGAGACCCTGTTGGGCTGGGCCATGTGTGTCATAAAATGTAAATGCCAGGTAGCGGCGATACAAACTTTATAAAGGACACAAACACAAAGGGTTTTTTTTTTACTTAAAATAAAAACATGCTTAGAACATTAGCTCTGTGAGTTGCAAACCTACTTTTGATTTGTTGACATTCACCACAGAAATCTCATGCTCAGAGTTCTGAGTCTAGGACCCAGGTTAAAACAGTGATTCAGTGAGTGATTAAGAACATAAGAGACGCCAATGTTGGATCAGGCCAAAGGCCAATCCAGTCCAACACTCTGTGTCACACAGTGGCCAGAAATACCAGTGCCATCAGGAGGTCCAGCAGTGGGGCCAGGACATTAGAAGTGCTCCCACTGTTGACCCCCCCAAGCACCAAGAAGACAGAGCATCACTTGCCCCAGAGCCCCTATCTATACCTTGTGGCTAATATCCACTGATGAACCTCTGCTCCATATGCTTATCTAATTCCCTTTTGAAGCCGTCCATGCTTGTAGCCGCCACCACTTCCTGTGGCAGTGAATTCCATGTGTTAATCACTCTTTGGGTGAAGAAGTACTTCCTTTTATCCGTTCTAACCCGACCGCTCTGCAGTTTCATGGAGTGCCCACGATTAAGAGAGTCTGGCGAACAAGCTATGATGCAGCAGCAGAACTGGAAGCAGATGGCCAGTTCCACTGTGGGCCTGATGGAAGCCCTCCGGGGGGCCTGATCTGGCCCTCGGGCCGCATGTTTGACACCCATGGTGTAGTGGTTAGACTGTTGGGGTAGGAGCATGGAAACCTGTGTTCAAACCCTCCCTCTGCTCCTCTGGGTAATCTCAGGCCAGTCACTGTGTCAGCCTGTCCTACCTTGCCAGGTCATAGAATCATAGAGTTGGAAGAAGGGCATAGAGACCATCTAGTCCAACCCCCTGCCCAATGCAGGACCAGTCTAAAGCATCCCTGACAAATATTCGTCCAGCCTCTTCTTGAAAGCTGTCCATGAAGGGGAGCTCACCACCTCCCCAGGTAGCCGATTCCACCTCTGAACCACTCTGGCCGTGAAAAAGTGTTTCCTAATCTCCAGCCTGATACCTTTCTGCATGTCATTTAGACCCGTTGCTTCGGGTCCTCTCCTCTGCTGCCAACTGGAACAGCTCCTTGCCCTCCTCCAAAGGACAGCCTTTCAGATATTTAAAGAGAGTGATCATGTCCCCCCTCAATCTCCTCTTCTCCAGACTAAACATTCCCAGGGCCCTCAGCCTTTCCTCGTAGGGCTCAGTCTCCAGACCCCTGATCATTCTCGTCGCTCTCTTCTGCACCCTCTCGGTTTTGTCCACATGGTAAGGATAAAACCGAGGAGGGGAGGGTTGTGTGACCCACTTTGAAGTCCTGGAAGGGAATTATACTATCCATCTGGTTTTGTATTCATTTTAAGATTTTTTAAGCCCCACCCTCTGATCTATGAATGTAGCCGTTAACCGTTTCGTTCCTGGACAAGACTGTAAAGGAGGAAGGGCAGTGTCTGGTTGTTGGTGTTGTAACTTACAAGACTCACGTCTCAAACGTTCGCCTTGGGCCTCTCCAGTTACTCAGTCTTTTAGGGAGCAAGTAAACACTCCTATCCATTTTGTATTAGGAGAAAAGAGCAAGAGTCCAGGAGCACCTTAAAGACTAACAGAATTTGTGGCAGAACAAATTTAGAGTCCAGTGGGGCACCTTTAAGACCAGCCAAGCTTTCGTGCGCAAGGCCACACTTTTTCAAATACATTGGAATGGCAGGTGAGGTTCTAAACTTATAGACTTGTAGAATTTAACAGCAAATTAACAGGATGACGTTTAAGTTAGGCAAAGTGAAAAATTAAATAACAAGTTAGGATAATAAGGTCAACAGTTTTAAAGCAATAAATATGTCACAGTAGCAGATAAATATCTAAAGGTGTTTTTTCTAATTATGGGAAGTAACAGAGTTTTAATTATCTTCTCTCAGGCGTGGAGGGTATGAGCTTTTGTGAGTCACTGCTCACTTCTTCAGATACAGCGCCTCCCCCGCCACAAATTTTGCTAGTCTTGAAGGTGCTCCTGGACTCTTGCTCTTTTCTGCTGCTTTGTTGTTGTTCAGTCGCACAGTCGAGTCCAACTCTTCACGACCCCATGGACCAGATCACGCCAGGCCTTCCTGTCTTCCGCCGTCCTCTGAAGTTTGCTCAATTTCATGTTCGTTGCATCTATGACACTGTCTCACCATCTCATCCTTTGCCATCCCCGTCTTCTTTGACCTTCAATCTTTCCCAGCATCAGGGTCTTCTCCAGTGAGTGCTCCCTTCTCATTGGGTGGCCAAAGTATTTGAGCTTCAGTTTCATTATCTGGCCCTCCAGGGAACAGTCAGGGTTGATTTCTTTTAGGGTTGATTGATTTGATCTTCTTGCAGTCCAAGGGACTCTCAAGAGTCTTCTCCAGCACCATAGTTCAAAAGAATCTATTCTTCGGCGCTCGGCCTTCCTTATAGTCCAACTCTCGCAGCCATACATGACTACTGGGAATACCATTGCTTTGACCATGCGGACTTTTGTTGGCAGGGTGATGTCTCTACTTTTTATCATGCTGTTTAGGTTCGCTATCGCTTTCCTCCCAAGGAGCAGGCGTCTTTTAATTTCATGGCTGCTGTCACTGTCTGCGGTGATCTGGGATCCCAGGAACGTGAATTCTGTCACTACTTCCACGACTTCCCCTTCTATTTGCCAAGGAGCGATGGGGCCGGATGCCATGATCTTAGTTTTTTTGATGTTGAGCTTCAAGCCCACTTTTGCGCTCTCCTCTTTTACCCTGGGCAAGAGGCTCTTTAGGTCCTCTTCACTTTCTGCCATTAGAGTGGTATCGTCTGCATATCTGAGGTTGTTGATCTTTTCCCCAGCAATCTTAATTCCCGCTTGCGATTCATCTGGTGATTCATTGTGATTCTGCTGCTACAAAGAGACTAACACAGCCACCCATCTTGATCTAATTTTGTATTAGAATATTCATCTCTATGAGGATGCTTGTATACTTTTCAGCTGTTTGCCTTTCTCTTGGTCATTTGAAAACAGAAACACCCCCCCTCCATGCCCTTATTGTTGCTGAAACACTGGAGAGAGAATTATCCTACATCCAGTGATCCAATAGAATGAGGACCTTACAACTTAAGAAACCTCTGAACGTACGCACATAGATGACAATTGTGCCATAGATATATTCTGAGATATCTTGAAACCTCCTAAAGACTTGGCACCATTGTTATATTTTTTTTAACATTTCTGTTTGGGGTAATTGAAATAGAAAAAGAGAGTGTGACGTCCTTGCTTACTGGGGAGACGGTTTTACCTTTAAAACACATGAACACGGTAGAGGAAGGACTATTTTGATTGCTGGGATAAGTTTAAACGAAAAATGATTTATTTAATAAAGAACAAACTAGGTTTCTGGTTATTTTGGACTGTTGCTGAGGAAAGGAACTTGTAAATATAACTGGCAAAGCTTGGCGTCATGAACAGTCTCCCAAACTCCACTCTGACAGGCTTAGACAGTCTAACCTCTCTCATATATATATATATAGTCACCCAGGCTAAACTCTTTGTCTTATTCACACAGAATAGACTCAAACTCTCATAGTCACACAGACTAAACTGTCTGTCAGTAAATTTTATCAGTCTTTAAGGTGCCACTGGACTCTTGCTCTTTTCTTCTGCTCCAGACAGACTAACGCGGCTACCCATCTTGATCTATCTCCATCTGATTTGGGATATTTTTCCCCTCTCTCACCAGGCATAGAATACATGATCACCCAGCTGAAGTCTCTGATTCTCTCAGTGTGCCTCCTGGACAAAAGCCTGACGGTGGAGCAAGCTGTCCTGCTGTCCCGCCTCGAGGAGGAATACCAGGTGAAATCTCACCTGGGGCCGAAATCTGCAATTTGAATGGCAGCTCTCCCCCTTTAAATTTGGGGGCGGGGTCCCCAGCTCTGCAGCTGTGAGGAGATGTTGTGGGCATTGGAGGAGGAGGAGATTGGATTTATACCCCGCCCTTCACTACCCAGAGGAGTCTCAGAGCGGCTTACAAGCTCCTTTCCCTTTCCCTCCCCACAACAGACACCCTGTGAGGTAGGCGGGGCTGAGAGAGCTCCGACAGAAACTGCTCTTTGGCTTGCCCAAGGTCACCCAGCCAGGTGCAAGTGGAGGAGTGGGGAATCAAACCCGGTTCTCCCAGATTAGAGTCCACACCCTTAACCACTGCACCAAAACTGGCTCCTGTTGTTTTTAAAACCGTAGGGAGGGCTCAGGGTTTCTTGTGGGGGGCATGAACTTGTAGTGGATTAAAGCAGGCGACTGACAAGAGCGAGAGCATCCGTTGGACTGCACGGGGTTCGAATCCTGCTTTGCTTGTTTTGGGTGGCCTTGGCCAAAGGTACCTTGGTTCTTCTGTCTGGGCATCGGGCTACGACGTCCCTCAAATGCTTCTCCCCCAAGTGTGTATAAAATGGAAACGCTGGAATTCCAAACCAAGGCAACCAGAATTCCATGGCAAACGGTTGAATCTCCCTGCGTGCACAGGCAGCGCAAATGAAAGAGGATATTTGCATGCATTACCTTATCTCGAACTATTCAGATGGCTTCCGCTGAGCTTAGCCCTCTCGGAGCGGGTGGTAATCTATGCAGATTGTGTACCGATTTTGCATGATTGACACTCTATCAGCCAGTCAAGGGTGGGAGCGGGGGAGGAAAATAGCATCACCTCTTATCTACTTAGAAACAATAATAATCCTCCCCCCTTTTAGGTTTCTGCTTCCACGCTTCCACATTCATCTTCCCAAGGCAACAAGGCTAGGAACTTTGCTTACATCACCAACAGGAAAGCTAGCATGTCCAGGATCCCACCTTCGGTGTGTGCTAATTTTTGTCCTGGCGGCAGGATGGCGGTTGCATAGGTGCATCACTCTGCCATAAGAATACTGGGTCCTTCCACATTGGGGTAGCTCGTCTGGAACACGGCTTGCAAGGACATTTTACAGCACTTTGTGGAACCTTCAGCTAGATGGTTTTAGATGGTTTTAGTTAGCATTGCATTTGGAACGATTTAGATTTGATTACTGGTGGCCCTAATTGGAGTTCTAAAACTGTGACTTTTTATGGGTTTTATCACTGATTTTATTGTTTTTTTAATAACGTTTTATAAACCTTGTAAGCCACCCTGAGTTCTGCAAGGGGCACAGGTGGCTAATAAGTGTTCTAAATAATAATAATAATAATAATAATAATAATAATAATAATAATAATAATAATAATACAGTAGGTAATAGACAGTTCGGAGAGCGCTTCTAAGCATGTCTGCTCAGAAGTATGTCCCATGCAATTTACTGGGGCTGCGGTGGCTCAAGTGGTTAAGACGCCGAGCTGCAGACCAGAAGGTCGGTAGTTCAGCAGTTTGAGACCCGAGTGCTGTGTGACAGAGTGAGCTCCCGTCTCTGGCTCCAGCCAACCTAGCAGCCCGAAAGCAAGAAATTGCAAGTAGATAAATAGGTACCATTTTGGTGGGAAGGTAACAGCGTTCCGTGCGCCTCGGTGTCTAGTCACGCCGGCCACATGACCATGGAGATGTCTTCGGACAGCGCTGACTCTTCGGCTTGGAAACGCATCACTAGAGTCGGATTCGACTGGCTTTCGAGCAAGGGAAACCTTTACCTTTGCCTTTATTCCCAGGAAGGTGCCTTTTAGGATTGCAGTCATAGTCTCTCTCTCGCTCGCTCGCTTATATGGAGCCAAATGAAATATCTTGCATTCGCTCATTTAAAAACCCAGTTCTGTCCTAACCTCTCTCATCCTCACTTATGAGCCTTACGGACATGACTGTTAAGGACACAACAAAAGCCAGTGTTGGATCAGGCCAATGGCCCATCCAGTCCAACACTCTGTGTCACATGGTGGCCAAAAATACCAGGTGCCCTCAGGAGGTCCAGCAGTGGGGCCAGGACATTAGAAGACACCCCCGCCCACCAACACAGGCAGCGGCACACCAC